GAAACCCGACCCTGTATACACAAATATTACTTATCGCCGAATGTTACGCGCAACAGAGAGAGAGAGGGAGAGAGAGAGAGAGAGAGAGAGAGTGAGTTACGTCGTCGTCGCAGCCTCTTTAGCAGCGCCTCTCTTTGTTGTTCGTATCAAGGGGAGGTAGATGGTACTTGTGTGCGCGAGCCTGCAATTTTCTAGACCCCTTACAATCACCTAAGGGTGGGTAAGACGATGACGGGAGTACCTATATATGGTACACACATGCGTCCACGTCTGCATAAGTATATTATCCCAGAGCTAATTGCTGACATACGGCCTGGGGAGCGGCGCTTGAGTGTTTTATTAAATCGATATGTTAATTACTGGCGTACCGTCGACTATGTAACCCTATACACAGCGTATGTGTATGTACATATATACGCGCTGGGTAACGAGTAGACGGGGGAAATGTCACAAAAGCCATGTCCAGAGATTTATTCGGATGGTCCGATCGCACGTTGATAGGATTCACGCGCGAGCACGATTCCCCCGCCATTGCGATTATTTTCAATCTGCGCTATACAAGAGTCAATGCTCTTTGCTCAGCAGTAGCAGTAGTACTGTAACGCGTGTATTGGTTATTTATTCGTATGCTCGGCTACTAGGGATCTGTTACACTCTGTATACTTTGTAAATATTTACTCGTTCATTTTCAATGACGATTATTCGATCACTCGATTTTTCGCACTGCACATACGATATGATGATGAAACGTATATACAGATAAACTGTATTTACGCAGAACTTCCGTTTATGCAGTCGATTGACAATGAAAGATGGGATACGTCAAAATTCTACCGAATTATTGTATGGTGATTTTTTTTGCAAAAGATTAGATGATTTTGATAAATTATTAATTTGTTTGACCCAAAAGTAATAATTGTCATTTAAACTGTCTGTTTGCAATAAAAATTAAAAAAAAAAATATCTCATTAGCGAGATGTACGGTCACCTCGGTCACTTGCACCCTAATTGGCCCCGAATAATTGGAAAAAAAGTCCAAACACCACTCCGTGATGCATTGCAGCGTCTATGATACAGAAAGTTAGGCAGTGCAAGCCAAAAAGCACACGAAGACACAATAAATCAGCCGCACTGCCTCGACGACAAGTCCGACAACAATCATACAAAGGCGAGAGAGGCTGGCGGTCTCTCTTTGACTTTTCGCTCGGCGAGCCAGCCAGTCAGTCGGGCTTTCGATGATGGCTTTTACTTCAGCCCCGGGAAATACAATCATTGTGGTTATAAGTTGACTGCCATGACATCGCGACGTACAACTTTACGAGGCTCCTTTTTTCCATGAGAGCAATGCACAGAGGAGGGACACGACAACGAGGCTGGCTCGCTTGCCTGTTTACCTGAATAATTTGTCAGTGTACAATACCGGCAAATGGACAGATCTCCGTGCTTTTCCGGCCTGGGAACAGCAGGTGGTGCTCTCTCTTTCTGGCGTAAAAGGACAAAAAGCCGAGGCGCGCGCGCCGTCACCTTTTAGAATTGTTGTACCCTCTGCCGACGGAGATGGACCGCATAAAGATGCGCGTGTGTGTGTGTGTGTGTGTGTGTATGTGCTCGATACTTTATGATTCTTTCCCATTCCTTTTACTGCAGGGACTGCCTCAAGGCGCCAGTATATTCGTTTTCCGTTACTTCCAGATGGCACTTCCAAGCTATTTTAAGAGCAGTAATTAAAAAAAACTTCTCCCACACATTTTTTCTCTCCAACGTCATAACTGCAGATACGGTAACCGTATTTGCGAGTATCACTGTACACGCAACTCATACTATACCAAAAATATTTCAAGATATATATCTAATGAGGCAGAAAATGTGACACGCGTCTAGTGCCAAACACACGAATTCAATTTAAAAAAGCTTGCAAATGGACAACAGCATGCGAATTGCCCATACTGTTTGTGATCCAGTAAGGGTGTCACGTAATTTTATTATTCATTAGATTAGTACAAAGGGAAATTGCTACATTGGAACCTAGAACGGTGGAAAAAAGTATGTATATCGGTGCGAGGAACGAAGTGTCAGCCCAGCAACGGAATCAGTCATGCGTCACAGAAGTGATACTTGAAACGCTACGATGAATGGATGCGATGTAAAGCTCAAGCTGTGCGTCCCGCATATATAGTGCACCTTGCCGATGAATTGCAGGTTTTGTATTGTGAATATCCAGTAGTCTTGTTTTATAATCTCGTAGCGTAAGTACCAGTATATCCGATTTTTTGAAGTGAAAATTTTGAAGTCAAAAGGACTGTTGCGACGAAAGAGGTATTTCAATTTACAACACAAGTTTCAACAAATATTAATGAATAAAACATGATGAGTCAAGTATTCTAACGTACGTATGGATAAAATGTACATCCGAAAAACAAAGGTAAAAAAAAGATGAACCAAAACTCTCCTTTTTTTTTAATATTATAGTGCTCTACGTCCGGCTCCTTTAATAAGGGCACTACTATGGGCACTAAGCACTTGGGAGAAGGAAGGGAAGAGGGATGGGAGGCCTCCCATTACTGGGAGGGGGTAGGGGGAAATTAGGCAATTTTTGCTGCGAGAAGGTCACCTAAACTCTCCTCGAGGAGCATTGCGTGGTGAAAAAGCACATGTGAGAAATCACAGAGGTTCTTGCTCGAAAAAGTCGCACTGGCCGGGAATTGAACCACGGTCCAAAACTCTCCTCATGTAAATATTACTCGATAATCAAGTTCAAAAAGCCGTCACCTTTAATAATGAAAATGGCATAAGTTTCTCCCATCAATAAATACACACATACGCACACTCATACAGATATTTTATCCACTGCACGGGGCAAACGTAACAGCACTGGTTTGTTAAAGTAGATGTGACAAACGACTACAAAAGAGCCCTGATGGTTACTGCTACTCTCAAATCGACGCCTGTCAACGACAGCCAACAGCATCACAGTTACAATAGCACCGTAGAGAGAAAAACACGCTGCATCGTGCACACGCTTACAGCTTCCGGAAGATGATTATTCGAACCCTAAGTTGCCAAGAGAGAGTGGCTCTCGTTGTCGTTTTTTTCCCTCTTTCCTTCTCTATAGCTTTTCCTTTTCTAGTTTTTGGTGATTACAAGCTGGCCCCCAAAATGGACTAGAAGCTGCTAGTTCGGGCCTTTGTGCGGCGATTAAATGCTCCGTGAAAATGCTGCATATTGTGCCTCCGCAAAGGTTTTACCCGCAGGTATAGACGGAGGAGAAGACTTTCCTCTTTTCGTCCCTGGCGCGGACATCAGTCGAAAATATCTTCTCGGTTTTTTCAGCTTAATTTTTTTTCCCCTGACTCGAGGCAGCGTCAGAGGCTATCTTCTTTCGGAATTTGGGCTCCAATCGACTCGTTGCTATGTGCGGCTTGTCGGGCCAATGTTTGGTTTACGCCGGCATGGATTGGTTTTCGGTACCCTGTTCACTTTAGGAGCTCACTTTTTTTGGTAGATGGCAGTTCTGGAGTGGCGGCAGTCACGTAATTTATGATAGGAGAATTGCATCTCCAGTATTTTCGTCGGATATGGTGCTATAAAATTTTCCTACAGGAGATAATAAGGTGAAGGTCGTCGTTTGAAACGTTCCGACTGCGGGATAATTTTTTGAAATTCCGTCCCAAGTGGTGTTTGAGGGAACGGCATGCGAGAAGCATACACATAATATAATAGAAGTTATGGGATAAGGAAAAAAAAATTTTGAAATGTTTGTAAAACACAAAATGTATATTTATTGATCTTTGTAACAATTGCTTATACCTTCATGCCGTAATTTGGAATAGTTTTATTTACAAAGTTAGTTGAAATATAAATTTAATTTTACACATTAGAAATGTTATCACCTAATCTCTTACAACTTGCTTATTTACAATATATTAAAAATCCTCAAATAAATCTTACAATTAATCAACTTTCTTCTCTGTTGCTTTATTTGTATAGCCACTGATCACTTACACCAACTCTAAATAACAACCTCATTACGTTAATGATTATACCACTAATTTTATTAATATTCATTTACATATATGGTATCATTTTCTAAACGTGATCGTCTTCATTTACAAACTATTTTAATATTTCATTATTGCAACTAACATATCAATTTTCTACATACAAAACATTACTTTTAATTTGTTTTCTAAAAAATTTATCGAATTCGTACTATACAATCGTGATATTTCGATTTTAAAAACAGCGTTTCGTACCTTTTGATAATTATTTTCTGCAACTTAAATAAAAAAATTCTGCTTCAGTAAAAAAGCAATGTCCTTATATTTTCCAAAAACATCATGACCATCATTCGCTGTGAAACTTTTTTTTAATATCGTGTGCGTATAGTTATTTTTGTTAAAAAAATATGCAAAGTCTCTCTTATTCTTATTGAAAAGAAGAACTTTATTGAAACTTGTGATATGTGCGTATCACAGCTATATTTTTTCATTGTCCCACAGTACAGAATAATGAAATCAAAAGAAATTCCGACTACTAAAACTCTATTTACACATTTACGTTCTGTAGTAAGGTAAAGTATAAAAAAGGTACAGTGAATCATTCGTTCAAGCTGTAAAGTTATACAGTTCGACGCATCGCACAATGACGTGTGCTACGGTGACGACTTGGTGAGATCATAAAAAAAGTGTGAAACTACCATAGAGCTATCCTAGAAAATGAATATTCACTCAAATGAGAAATCGAGAAAGAAAAGTCAAAAGAACCAAGTTTAACTTTACGAGAAACGATGAATCTTTATCTAAATGGAGAAAAAGTGACTACCGAGATCACAATGAAAAACGTACTCCCTCCATAGACAGTAACAATAACAACAACAGCAACAACAACAACAACAACAACAACAACAACAACAACAGTAATAATAATAAAAATAACAATAACAATATCAGCAGTAACAATAACAATAATTAAAAAAAAACAACGATGACGACGGAGCTTCATCATTTGGTGTAAACGTCACAGATGATCTTCTCGATGGGCGTAAGGCCGATGGTCCGTCTGAAGAAGAACTCCTCGATTGCCGGGGATGAGACACTCTTAAGCATCGGCAGCATCAAAATGAGCTTGCTGAACCTCATGGCCCCAAAGCTGGAGGTAGCCATGCTAGAGCCCAGGGTTGTCTGGGCGGACTCCCTAAGCCTCACAACAGTAGCAACATCCTTTAGTTTGGAGCACGTGGGAGATATGGATCCGTTGCTGCTGCGGCTACTCGGCACTTCGCTGTCCAAGCCGGCTTTGTAGAGCACGACCGCACGCAGACACGAGTACTCGTGGGCGTTGAGGTTGAGGCTGTGGAAGGCAACGAGGGTCTCGCGGAAGCGGCTCGCCTCAATGCTCAGCGGTAGGGACTGGGGACCCCCGGGCAACAGGGGTGACGGGTCGAGGGTGGGCACACACTGGGCCGCCGCTAGAAGGAAGAGCTCGCGCCACGAGGCCTCAAGTACCGTCAGCTGGTCGTCCATGCAGAGGCCCGAGTTCATGTTAAGGTCTCGCGCCCAGGTCACGTTCATGAAAAGCAGCCGCGCCGCCTGTTCGCAGATCGTGTCGTTTATCGTGACCGGGACACGTGGCATCGACAGTATTGTCGGCGTGCTTATTGGATGCTGTAACGTTCAATGACGCTTTGTTATCGCCTATTCATCGATTGATTTTTTTCTGTTCATATAAAATGCAAAAATTTAATTATTGAACTTGAACGTCGTTGCCATCGCTTACCTTGTAAAGATTCATCGTGGAGTAGACAGGTAAAGTTGGATGGATCATTGGCGTGGTTACGGAGACGCCGGTTTCTATGCCCGTAGTTTTTGGCAGCACGAGATCTAAAGCCGCTTGCATCGGTGGAGTTACCACCGGCATAATGTCCGACTCTTTGGAGCCATAGTATAGGGCCATTTGCCGTCGCAAGGTGGAATTTCGTGGGCCACGTTCGTGTTGAACGGCTGTCGTTGATCAATATATTTATTTTGATTAGATGACTTTTCCTTTTTATGTATATATATATATTTTTTTTTTAAATAAAATTTATAACGGGTATGTAGAAAGTAAAAAAAAACTTACCGTCTTTGTTCATGCCAACCTGCAAGCATTTGGCGAGGCGGCAAGCCCGGCACTGATTCCTGCGCGTTTTATCGACTATGCAGCCACCCTCGGACTTGGTTTTGCAGGCGTACTGCCGGCTTCGCCTGATTGACCGCTTAAAGAAACCTGCGCAGCCATCACAGGCGTATATTCCGTAGTGCTTGCCGGATGAGTGGTCCCTGCAAACTTTGCATGGCACGTCGAGCAGAATGCGACCTACAGATTAATTGTTGAATATGTAATATTGCACGTATGCGTTGATTTGGACAGTGTCTTCCAAAGTTTTTATTTCTCCAAATGATGGTTGAATATGTACTTTTTGTATATGAGAGTTTCTGATGTTCAAGTTGGTATGGTATTACGCAAATGTAAAAGAACTAGAATCGGTATTACGTATTTACTTATTAGACTTGGGCATGGATACTCATTCAAATAATGTGCGTTACTATTTTTCTGTAAAAATAAAACGCAACCTAATAAACTACATTCATAAAACGAAAAAGATTTTGATGGCAAAAGATGGATACTTCCAAGTTTTTGGAAACATTATTGAAAAATTTGTTTACGTACCTCATAGTGAGCTTCATCTCTTAAAAAAATTTATGTCACATATTGTTTTGCTATAAATTTGTTATACTAGTCATGTATTATCAGTAGGGATGAAAAAGTTTTCCTATAACATTAAACAATGTTTTTGTTCCAAAGTATCAAAAAATTTATAAAATGATGGAACCCAAGTTAGAGTACTAAAAATTGTTAAAAAAAAAAGTCTGACATAGGTAGAAAGTTTTCTAACAAAAATTGTAGCATATAAGACAAACCAGCGCAGTCTTCTCACAGTTTCTTTTTCTCTCTCCTACGATAACAATAAAAAAGGAGGAGGGCAAAACTGAGATGAGGAATCACGTTACTTGCCACTGCTCACTTGTTCGTCAAACAGCTCGTTTGCACATTAGTTACATACGTGTTATACACGTTATAGGTACCTGTAAATTCAATGAAGGGTCACACTACCTACATAGTAGCACAGCAGCAGCAGCATAGCCACATCCGGTCCATTCAACGCCCCATTCATCGTCATCTTACTTACTGAGGACAAACGAAGGGCTACACACACACACACTGACGGGTATACTTTTTCATATCTCAAACTCTCCGCGTGTGTTTACGTCGTATGTACACACGTGCGTGTTCAGGCGTGGGCGGGGACTCTTGAGGATCTCAAGGATCTCTCGCCCCCCTCTCTCTAATTCTCGTTTCGTTTGCGACTTTGGCTACAAATAAGTGCGCCATTCAGTTTTTCCGTGCACTATAGCCTAGCAGAGTGCGTGTTTTCTCTCTCTGATGGTACATGAGTACACAAATGGATTCCCTGCACTCAAAATACCGTCTCATTCAGCAGAACGCTAGGAGGGAGAGATTAACGCCAGCGCGAGCGCGCGCGCGACCATGAATGAAGGAAAGAACGAACGAATGAATGAGCAGCTCTCACTCCCTCATTTCCCTTTTTTACGCTCGCACGTTTCCATTCTTTCTCCTTGCGGGAGGGGACTTTTCGATTTCATTGAGTCGTCGTTCAGAGACGGCTGGACGTTTGGATTGAGGCTCGAGAGGGTGACATTTGAGGAAGTATTTGACGTTTATTCAAAACTTCCTGATTTGCCTATCCCGAAGAGACCATTTGCGTACCCTATGCCGAGGAGTCCAAGACTTGTACGAGATATTAGGACTAATGTGTCAGCCGAAGGTCATTGTTTGGATGAATGCACCAAGAGACTGTGTGTGTGAAAATTCTTTCCCCTGGTTTAGAATGAGTGAACTGTTATTATTGGTGAGGTCGATTTTTCGCTTTGTGCAGCGAAAGATAAGTGTCAAAACTTTATGAACCTAATGTCGGGGATTTACTCCAACTCTGACGAGAATCTAGCATTTTTGCATGACAAATAAAGCGCCGTTGATTGATTGCATGTACAATGCACTCATAGGTAATGTTGTGTGTCGAAAAAATTAAAAATTTGATGGGTTTCACGATGGAAAATCTTTATAGAAAAAAATGTACTTTATGGGTTATGTGACTTTATTGACGGTAGTTTCACTAATTATTGTGACAAATTATTTTGCTTATATGTAAGTACATTTATTAGCAAGAGTGAATTATATAGTTTAAAGAACTCGAAAAAATTAATATTAACGTCGAAAGAGGAAAGTTTGATGAAACTTTGTTTATCCACGAAACGGATAAAATATACAAAAACGACGCAGATGTTTTTTTTTGTTCGTTGTAGGAAAAAACCGCAAGAATCAGTCACATAAGTAATACACAGAGCACGCATTTACCCTCGAAAACGAATATGCACTTATGCGCGTGTTGACGAATAAATGATGAAGCGCTAGAAGTTTTACTCGAGCGAGCCCTTCGACATGCGTTTTTGTACGCAGTTTTTTTTCTCTGCTTTAGGTATGTAAATGTGCCTCGCGATGAGTTTCATAGGCAAAACAAGTTATCAAGATAAAGCAATGTATATCTGGAAGCATTACAAAGAATGAGAAAAACAGTTTGTACCGCAAAAGAAAAGTGTTTTCGTTTTTTTTTGTATTATGTATGCATTTGTTAACAAGTGCGGTGTAATTTTTCGCGGTAACGGAGTTTCATAGATAAATATTGAAAAAAATGCTATGTGGGAATTTAAGATCTACAGAGAGTTTTTCGTTTAATGTACTGCACCACGTTACCAGGAAAAGCTCGAGTATAATATTTATTGAATAATGTACAAAAGCAGGCCTTGTAAGAATCCTGTAACGAGATGTACCTCATTACTGCCACTTCGTAATATTTGATGTACAAAAAAAAAACGTGGAAATAAAACCATGCAAGGAGAGAAAAAAAAGAGAAGAAGCAAAGGAGCAGAAAAAGCAGGAAGCTACCCTGCGTGAATGCAGTGGCGCTTGAGAGAGTGGCATAATGGTGGGTGGAAAGCGCACCCAAGACACCAAATTACGCAGTAACTGTGGTATGGGCGTCACTGGGAGGGAACAAGTAGAGAAAAGAAGCTTACGCGCATGTGCGTCCTGAATTTTTCATGCAAAAACTGTACCCACTTGCATGGGGTGGAAGTGTGCCTGTGCCGCTACTGCCGTTGTTATTAGACGTGAAAAATTTACAATAATCATACGGTGCATGCGGTGCGTGTTGTGTTGTGTACGCGTTACGGCACGTTCGTTTTGCGGATAACTTTTTTCCGCTCCTGCGCAAATGCACACGTATCAAAGTTTTCAGTCGAAGCCTGCGTTTTTGCGCGACTCTCTTGCTATAATTAGCGTATACTGACTGAATCAGTAGCCAATGCTGTGGAAAAGTTCATGTGCGTGCGTTTTGTGCGTACACTATTAGAAAAATATTCATTGAATTTAATTATATGTTTTAAAAACACATTTTATAACGCATATTATTGTATCCAGTGACATGTCAATGGATAAAGTTTAAAATTCAACGAAAAGTTTATGTACGTAACATTTAAGAAATTACGTATCTTCAAGAATGCATAAGCTACAAATTAATATTTCAGTTTTTCAAGCGAACGCGCCAAAATCATCTTGCTTTATTTCATATTCTATGGTTTGATTATACATTTATTGTTTCAGTATAGAATTCCGTTCTGTGAAACTTAATTATTAATATGGACTTTCCGATAACAATACATAACAATTTTAATTCTTATCAGCTGCTAATTTTATTAAAAAACTTTTATTCGTAGGCTAGACGATTTAAATATTATACAAAAAATTTACGCATATAGAAAAAAGGTGTTTCACACTCACTCAAACGAGCTAATCTGAACAGCGGACAATAGAACTGGAAGCGAGTGAAGGAAATATAGGGAGGTTGTGAAAACAAAAGTGCAAGAGGCAAAGAGAACATCGAGTCAGCAGAGAAGGTGTGTTTAACACAACATGCAGTTACCAACACGTGCTACTATACGCACTTATGGTTTTGCAATTCAAGATCCACACACTCTGTATAAGTAAATAAGTACATACGTGAGTACGGCGATAGCAGCAGTCGAGACAGGGGGTCATATGTGTTACCGGATGTGATTCAGTGCAGTTAGAGTTGGATGTGCCCTTTCATTAAAAAGAGAAAAAAAAGGTACATCCCATTTCGGATCGAGGGAAGGGCAGTGCGCGCGTGTGCTATACGACAGGTTGGACTTTTTGCTCTCTTTCGGGAGAGACACACCAGTCATTTATATTGATTTCGTCGCGTGCGGGGGAGGGATAGGTGCAGGCGTGCCCGGCATTATAATTGCACTTATGGGGAAAACTGCCCTTCTAAGTGTGCGTTACATTGAAGCCCGTCATTAATGTTTTCTCGTTTCTTCGCTACGTTACGCCGCTGCGGCCACAATGCCTACTTACATATGTATTACGTGGAGAACGTCTGCTCATCTGCCGTCAATTCGCTTGCTCGCTTGCTCGTGGCTGCATAATAAATTACCACGTCAGTCAACCTATAAGTCTATATCAAGTGAGGTGCTTTTCTTGTTATTATTATTTAAGCGTTCGACGAAGCATTATTAATTTTTTAGTACGAAAATTTTTCCAGGATGTTTTATGTAACATCAAATATATTAGATGTAGATGTGGTCGGTGTGTTGAAAATAATTCGAATTTTTTGATAGAGATTTACCGTTAGATCTTTGAATTTCATCATCAGAAAAATAAAAAAATAATTTAGCAACTGACGCGGTTGACCGATTCATCGATCAATCAACTGCAACCTGTTGAAAATTCTCACGAGAGAGAGAGAGAGAGCGACCCTCGCGTACCCTCGTCCAATCGACCCTTTTTTTTCCAAATTACCTCACATCATCGCCATCGGTATCGTAGACTCGTAAACGATTAAATAATTACCCTTCTCCCCAAAAACAGCCCAGTCACGCGTATCCCACTCCAACGCACGCGAGGTAGTGGTAGAAAAAAAAATCTACCCCCCGCGAAGAGCGAGTCACCGAGGCATGGGAATTTTGCGACATGTGCAACACGCACACGCATCCCCAGAAAGATCGAGAGAGCGTACGTGCTACAGCGTACCCCGCAAGTATAACGAGCTGTACCCGTTCTATACCTGAGGGATGAGTCAGGCCCGTACATCATATTGTACGATACGTCATCTGCCTGTTATACGTACGCTGGCAGTGCCCACCTCTC